ACCACATCTTCTATCCCCCCCCCCTTTTTTTTTCTTTTTTTGGGGGGGTAAATGCTCTGTAAATGTTGTTACTTTTCTTCATACCTTTTTCACAATTCTTTATCTCTTTATTCTCTCAGAATCTCCCTTCTAACCTCAATCAGTTTTTGCACTAAAATACAAATATTTTCCCAGGTATACATCCATTTCTGAACAGCATATTTTGCAACTAAATATTAGGCCAAGATAGCTCAGATTGATCCATTCTAATATCTATTTAAATGTTGTATTAATTCTGTACTATCAGGCAGTATTTTTTACTTGCAAATTAACTTATTCCAAGATGCAAATCATATAAATTTGACTTTTCTTGGTCTCCTTTTTAAGAAAATAATAGAGTACTTTACACAAACCAGTGGTAACTCTTGAAATAATCAGGTTTTGGATAAAGCTTTGAGGGCAATTCAAGCCCATATGTGAACAGGTCAGTTCTGTTGAGTAATACATTAGAAATGAATTATGTAAAAATAAAATGAATATCCTAACCTCATACCTTCCAGCTGACTTTCTTGGAGGTTCTGGTCACATACAACTGGAACCTACTTTTGTTTCTGTCATTCTAATCATATTCCTCCAGCTGTTCCTGTAAGACAGGGCTCTTCGACCAGCTGTCTGCAGGCTAAGGGGAGAACACCGGAACTGAGTGTGAAGGGCAGAGAGCTAGAGCAGGTGTGGAGGGAAAAGGGAAAATGGGCCAGGGATCATCTGGCTTATCTCATCATCCACTGGGCTGAGGTTCTGGTTTTCCTCAGTAGTCCTGTTCTATGTGCCTTGAGCTAGTTGAGTTCTTACACAGCAGCAGGATGGAGTCAGGGCTCCATGAAGTATGTGTGTGCAGCTGCCATGCTCTTGCTCCTACTGTGCCGTGGCTTTCATGTGGTTAGAGCAAAACCTAGGACCATACAAACAAGGGGGAGAAACGTGGGAAATGGGGGGGAAAAAAACGAGTGGAAGCATCTCTTATACTCTACAGGGAGGACTAGAGCACAAACGTTTCTGTGCCCCATTCCTTCAGTCCATACGCTGGCAGAAGAGGAAAGGAACAGGGTTACAGGGTTGTGCATTCGCTTTTCCTCTTTTGCCCTCCTCATGTATTCCCTTGTGTTATTCCTTCCTCTGCTGGTTGTCCAAACTGGATAGCAAGTTGGTTTAAAGTTACATTTCAAAAATACACCACCACCCCCTTCCTCCCCCACTGAAAAAAATTCATCACCCTGCTTTAAGTTTTGTTGGGTGCTTAACGTTAGTGCTATCCTAATCAGTCTTCATGTATCTGATAAGCAGACAGATTGAAATGTGTCTATTGGAACTTGGGTTAGATTGTGATTAAAATGATCTTCTGAAACATTGTATTCGGACTTAATGGACGTTTTTAGGCAAAGTAGTGCTAGATTTTATTGTATTCCTTTCCTAGTGTGCCTCAAGAATACACGAAAGAGTGTAGCATTTTGACAGACCTTTGCCTGTACTGTTCTGCTTGGTTTTTATTTTTTACTAGAATAAATTTTATGTTGTTATTTATGTGTTTTGAAAGTTGTCAGTTCTTTTTCCAACAGGGAAACTTATTACAAACAATATAAGAAGTAGAGCTATTGTAGATTAAACTAGTAAATATATATATATTTTAATACTGTATTTACTTGAAGCTTTTCATTTTAAAGAGGTAGGTATTACTCCCTGTAGTATAATTGTAGTTCTCTTTAGAGTTCTGATATTTCTGCTTATAATGCCAGAATACCTTTGAATTTGCATGTGAAAAATATTTAAGTAAGAAATTATGAAAAAATCCAGAACAGCAAGATTTTTTACAAAATTTTGTGCTCTGTATATGCAGTAAAACTAACTGATTTGTGGTTCATTACTTGAAATTTTATCGAGATGTGAGAAATGCACATAAAAAGCTTCCCAGACAATCAGGAACCATCCTGATGGAGTTGGTTAATATATCTTAATAGTTCTGAAACGCTTCTTGTAGAACATGACATTTCATAACCATTTGTTTGATAAAATGGGTAACAATTCTTTCTTTATAATGCTGTCTGTAGATAAATACTGTTCTTATTGACTGATAAGTTAAAACAAATGAAAGAAATATAAGTCTTTAAAATGCGGTATGACTTCTGTTTCCCTTACAAATGCAGTAAGCTAGGGTGTAAGTAGTTTTGGTGTACTTTTCAAATAAATAATCAGTAATACATGTTGATTAAGATGTTTGAGTCTGCTTATGCCTGGCGTTCAGAAACAGCAAATGTTTTGGATTCATCTAGATGAGTATGTATTTGCATGACTTAACATTTATCAGATCAGTCTTGGTAAACCACCCTCAATGATTACCTTCTATAAATACTACCAAAGTTCTTTTTTTCTTCTCCCAGGTGCTATTCAAGTATTGGGAAAGTTCAGGATGCCTTTATATCTTATAGGCAATCTATTGATAAATCAGAAGCAAGTGCAGATACATGGTGTTCTATAGGGTAAGAATGATACAGGGTAATACAGTGATATAATTCAATGCTAATATATATAAATAAAGAACATCAGCTTTTTAACTCTCTTGTGCTCTCAAGGGGACAGTAAAGCTTTCTTATTTATACCTTCATGTTGTCAGACTTGTCTGATTTGAAGTTTAAATAATAAATTTATATTTGCTTTCTCAGTTTTTTAAAATACTGAATATGCTATGTGGATGAGCTTTGCATGTTAAGATTTTGTGGTGTTTATGCTTATTACTGTGCTTTATAGAACTGCAAAGTTTATTAAGGGTTTTGAGGGGGATGTGTGTATTTGACTTGTTTGTATTTTGACTTTGTTATTAATTCTCAACTTCACTAATCTTTCTATTCAGTGTGCTGTATCAACAGCAAAATCAGCCTATGGATGCTTTACAGGCCTATATCTGTGCTGTACAATTGGACCATGGCCATGCTGCAGCCTGGATGGACCTAGGCACACTCTATGAGTCCTGCAACCAGCCTCAGGATGCCATTAAATGCTACTTAAATGCAACTAGGAGCAAAAATTGTAGTAATACCTCTGCACTTGCAGCACGGATAAAGTATTTACAGGTAAAACTAAAGTTTTAAGAAGCGGGAAATACTCTTCCAAATACACAGCAGAGGGGAGGGGAGAAGTAACACACAAGCTTAACTTGCAATTGTTTGTGGTGTGTATAACCTGTTTTCATGTGTACTGTAAGCGTATCATAGCCTGTAATATTTTATTTCTTCATTTTTAAGTGAAACTTAATTCCTTATAAACCCTATTTTGCACATTTAATCAAAGCATACTGTTTTACATCACTTTGCTTTTTTCTTTGTATTGTCTACATTTTTAAGTTTTCATAACATAGAGAGAGAATACACACACGCTATCTTTCACTCTTGTTTGCAATTTCAGAAGAAAGGAATTATGAGACCTCTGAATCCAGAGCTCATCTTTGTTCTGATTCTCACAAAGGTTTATATTCTGGTTACCCTCTTTATACTTAGCACCTTTCTAAAACCCCAAATTTTAAATCTATCCTCTCTTTAAGACATAATTAGCTACAGCATTTAGGAAGATTTCATGGACTTGCTCTTACTAAAGTAGGCTTGTGTTAAATTTGCTTTTTACATAATTTTTCCTAGGCTCAGTTGTGTAACCTTCCACAAGGTAGTCTACAGAATAAAACTAAATTACTTCCTAGTATTGAGGAGGCATGGAGCCTACCAATCCCCGCAGAGCTTACCTCCAGGCAGGGTGCCATGAACACAGCACAGCAGGTGAGAAGTTGGGTTATGTTCTGCAGGTGCCCAGCTTTAAGGGTTCTTTACAATCGGTAGTGGTCAAGCTTATTTTATTGAGCACAGGACTGGCTTTTATTAATAAAAAGCCTTTGATTTATTTGCAGAGGGATACTAGATCAAGAAGCTCCCTATAATATGGGAGAAATATGGGGGTACCAATTTAGAACCTTTGTGGATTTTCATGATTTTAAAAGATTTCATCTTAAATAGAAATGCTGCAGTGGTTTAATAATCCCATGAAAGGTACACATTCCTCCATTGATGACCATATGGAAACTGATTTTTCAGTTATTGAGATCATCTTCAGAATATCTACTCGGCCCTTTTAATATATGTGGGCTGTTAAAATATATAATTTAAAGGAAAGAATTAAGAATATATAGAACCATATTTTTGTCTTCCTTCTGTGATTCTTAGGCTTGTAAACCTCATCATCCAAATACTGAACCTGTACTAGGCCTCACTCAAACACCAATTTCACAGCAATCCTTGCCACTACACATGATTCCTTCTAGCCAAGTAGATGACCTGACCAGTCCTGCCAAGAGGAAAAGAACATCTAGTCCAACAAAGGTATATATTCTGATGAACTAAAGAGCCCCCTACCAAAATTATGTGGAAATATGCATTAAAGTGATGCAGCATGCACAGAATTTGTGCTGTAAATTTTAATCCTTTGGCATCAAGGTGGGGAATGTTTTTAGGAATTTTAAAAAAGATTTTTCAGTGATGTGTTTAATCAGGTTACAGTTCCGACAGGAAGCGCATAAGGGCAATGCAGATCGGTGGCACTATACTACAATCATAGTTGTATAAGTGAAAAAGTACAATCATAGTCTGATGATAGATAGAGAGGGAGACGATCATGTCATCCTGTCTATTGCCTTTGCTTATATTTAGAATTCAAGTGTTTCATCATCATGTAATAGTGTTACAGTAGATAAAGTATTCAGTTTTGAAAGTAGTGTACGTTTAAGTTAGTTGCGTAATTTGATTTGATTGTTTCTCGTTATGATATTAGATATCATTTAACTTTGACTACTCTGATGCTGTATGGGAATGGTAGAATGAGACTTGGCATGTTTTAGTATGTTCTTTGTTTATATTGTAATTCTTGAAACAATTACTAGTTCTTTCATAAATAAGGTAAAATCTAGATAGTAAAAGAAATTATGTTGACCCTTTGATAGTCATCCATTTTAATGTAATGTTTTCTCTCAGAATACTTCAGATGTTTGGAGCAGTGGCCATACAGTGTCACATCCTCCTGTACAGCAACAAATTCATTCTTGGTGCTTGACACCACAGAAATTACAGGTAGGTATGTTGAAGATCTTCAGAAGCTTTGATACATCCATCCATCTCTCCCCCCCCCCCCCCCCCCCCCCAATCTGGAATATTTTTCGGTTTCACATTTCTGAAATTCAATGTGAAATACTTCCCAAATAATTCCCACAGTGTAATTCAAGTTGTGCTAATATTTATGGCTTCTCTATGTGTGATTAGTTCTATAGTAAAATAAATGATCTCCAGCAGAAACTGAACACTTAACATTGTATGAATTCTATAATTTATAAAGTAAGAACATACAGTAATTCTTTTTTCTTATGATGTTTTAAAGATAGATACGCAAATTGCCACACTTGTGTGCCAAGTGAGTTTTGCTACTTGCTGTAATGTGGGGGATATTGAAGGAGGTGTAGAAGTATTGTAATATCCTCTTTTTCCTCTGAGGTAGCTTCTTGTATCGAATTGCATAAACAAACATGCACATTCTACAAAATGCAATTACTCAAATGAAATCTGCTACTGCTTTTCTATATTTTATGTCATCTAATATATTTATATGAAATCCTAGATTTTATTTTTGAAATCTTGATTCAGGTCCTTTTTGTTGTTACGTTCTGTTGTCTCTTCAGTTCATAAGGGCTTGCAGTGAGCTTCAGCAGGAATTCCTTATTTTGAAAATCAGGCTTAGCTGGAAACTTACCCATGTATCACAGATAACTGCTTTGGATGCAAGGAAAAATAGAAGGGAACAGAGTGCAGAGACAGAAGGCATTCTGATTGACTGAGCAGTGTTCCCCTCAACTCCAATATCGTTCTTCAGCTGTTTCTCTATCTGAACAATATTGGCTTTATTATGCTGCATAATTTTTCTCTTCCACCCCTCTCTCTCCCCCCCACCTCCCCACCCCTTTGGTCCTCCCTAATCACTCTTCTGTATCTCTCTCTCTTCATGCATTCTCATTATTTCTCTCTGCTTATTTTTTTCCCCTTTTTATTTTCACCTTTTTCCAGATCCAACTTCCTCCTCTAAACAGTATCTAAGTAGGCTTCTCTATCTAAGTACAGTATACTGGATTTGCTGGCAATAGCTTGACAAGGTTCCAGCATATATGAATAGGAAAGCCAAAAAGATATGATGCAAGAGAAGAGTGAAAAAAACCTTTACTACATCTTCTAAGTCAGCCTTTTAAAAGTGGCAGCTTAGAGGCTGGATGGATATGGCACATAACACACACCAAATGGCTCAGATAACAAAAGCAGAAGGGGAAAGGGCTATGGCCACACAGTAGCCTCCGGGGCTGCAGCATGCCAGTGGAGGAGGGATGGGTGTTGGTTTCACAGAACTGGTGGGCAGCAAGAACAGTGCTGCCTGCAAAGCCTCTGCACCCATAGCACTGGAGAGGAGTGCAGACTTGCCTCTGCTGACTGTGTGCTAGGTCAGTCTTTCTGATTCCTGTTACCCCATTCAGACATGTTATTCTATTCAGACATTTTTTAAAAAGCGAAGTAACAACTGAAGAGCACTGGTTTTGGCTTGTGTGTACCTCGTGCATTCAGTCCCATGGAGACCCTGTTTTCCTCTCACAATCATATATATATATATATATATACACATATATATATATGTGTGTGTGTGTGATTTTTATATTGTTAATCCAGGGAGTTGGCATGAACCATCTTTCCGCTTTTTCAGACAATGTTGGATTTTTTTTTTTTGTTCATAGTTTGCAAATACAATTGTTCAAAGCAGAATGAACTACACTTTATTTAATACTCATACTTCAGTTCCATTTATGTATTACTAATACAGCATAATTAAAGCAAAGGAGACAAGAAGGATGTAGAAGAATAATACATGCAGACCTGAAAGGAACTAAAGGAAACCTGATTTGTGTTTGGTTTTGGTGGGGCTTGGTTTGGTTTGTTTGTTTTTTGTTTGGGAACTGTTTTTTGGTTGGTTTGTGGGTTTTTTTGAAAGGATTTACAATGATGTGAAGTAGCTTAGTATTTAAGAACAATCAAGAAAAATGTCTGTATGTCACCTTTTGCGTAGCACAACTTTTGCCCTCCTTTCCACCCCACCCCACCCCCCTTCCTTCTTAGTGCTTTTGTGTTCCACAATTTCAGCATTTATGTCATACCACTTAACAGCAGCAGACTTACTGGTAGAATGATGGTGTCTGCCGAGTAGTTCAAAATGAATACAAAGATCAGATTTTTGGTAATAGATACTTAAATTTATCAGTTGCAAATGAGTTTGGTATCATAACTTAAGGTACTGCTCTCTGTAATTAAGTTGCATAGTTTTCTGGGTTTGTTTTTTTATATTTTCTGGAGAAATTTTCATGTGTGACTATAGGTTGAATTTACTTTGTGCTGATCAGTATTAATAAAAGAATAGCACAGTACCAAAAAGTGTTAAAACATACATAATGATAGTAAGAATTCTATATAATCATACTTGAATGTAGTTTTATGATACCAGTACACTTAATTTTAGTGAGGTGATAATATTTATACACTCAAATAATTCAGAAAGTCTCTTTAGTTTTAATAACTAGTAATATGGTTTGGTTACAGAATAGTGTATGGAAAGATGTTTGAGCCTGCAACAGAAATCTCAATCATGTTTTCAGCTTTACAAGTCTTCATGGATAATTTTTAGTATTCTATGCAAGAAAGTTATTAAAAAGCACAGGCAATTTTAATGATTCTGAACTGTACTGCTGTTTTTTCAGCACTTGGAACAGCTGCGTGCAAACCGAAATAATCTAAATCCAGCACAGAAACTTATGCTGGAACAGCTGGAGAGTCAGTTTGTCTTGATGCAGCAACACCAGCAGGTGAGAACAAAAATATTTTTCTCATCTGCAAAACTTTTGTCAGTAATGGTGTCTGTTGTGTTTCTTGAATTCTGAAGAATTTCTATTGTACAGAGTTCTCATGCCCTTTACTACGTTACATTGTCATCTTTTTTTGTATAAGGATCATTGTGGTTTACTGGTTGAAACGTAACGGGTTTAGCTGAGTTTTATTATAGGGCTACCAGATAATGTAAAAGTTTTCAAGCCACACTTTCAAACTAAAGTGAGTGGACATGTCTAAACACAGTCTTACTTGAAAAATACTTAGTTGTAGTAAGCCGTATTACAGTGTATCTCTCCTCCTCTCATTGTTCACTTCTCTCGCTCTTAGTGTCCAACTTTAGCAGTAAAACGCTAACACTCAAACTGAAGAGCCTAGAAGAAGGGTGTGCCAATAGCTTTACCTTAAAATTTGCTCAGTATATTTGTGAGCATGACAGTCACCTTATTTCTCAAAAGCAACTGTGAAGATCTTAAAATCAGTATAAATTTTAATTGACCAGTGCAATAAAGTACACAAACCTTGTACGATCTTTACTTTTTAAATTCTGCAGCTGATGTTCTTGTGCTTTGTTCATCTTCTGTTAGATGAGACAAACAGGAGTTGCACAGGTACGATCTACTGGAATTCCTAATGGGCCAACAGCTGATTCATCACTGCCTACAAACTCTGTCTCTGGTCAGCAGCCGCAGGTTGCTCTAACCAGAGTGCCTAATGTCGCTCAGCGTGGAATCCGTCCCGCCTGCCCCGGGCAGCCTATGGCTAATGGACCCTTTCCAGCAGGCCCCATTCCCTGCAGCACAGCAAGAACGCTGGGTAGTACAGACACTATTTTGATAGGCAATAATCACATAACAGAAAGTGGAAGTAATGGAAACGTGCCTTACCTGCAGCGAAACGCACTCTCTCTACCTCATAACCGCACAAACCTGACCAGCAGCGCAGAGGAGCCGTGGAAAAACCAACTATCTAACTCCACTCAGGTATACAATTTCAGTTTACTCATAAGAATACGCTAAGGAGGCTTGATAAGCAAGTCACCGTTTGAAGTCTCTCATTTGTAAACACACGTTTTCTGTTTCCTGAAGTTGATGACCTAGATGCAAATAAAACATAAGCTAGGTTAAACCTGCCCATTACATTTTAATGTTTAAAAATCTATGTATGAAATTAATTACTTTCAGGATAAAGGAAATGATTAATCAAAGAGGGCAGTTACATACTGCTCAGCTGCCTACCTTTGCAGAAAAGTTTCTGTAAAAACGAATACTTGTACATCTTTTTGTTGCTTCTTTAATGTGAAATGTTGTGACTTTGTTTTTCATGTAGTAGGAATGTGCATATTTCAGGGGAAGCTGAATGTTGTAGTTGTTTTGGACATTACATTGTCATCATGATGTAATCATTACCCATATTTTGTTTCCATATGATCTTTCAAAATTAGTATCTAACAATCAATCCCACAGAGTTACTTGCAGAAAAATACTATAATGCCAGTAAAAATCCATAGGGATTAAAGTGTATAAGTAAGGCTGTTTTGTGTATGTGTGTTAGAACTTGAAGATAGAGCTTATTTTTTTTAATTTCAGCCTAAATGTCTTTCTTCCAAGACATACCTCGTGGAAGTAATGATGTTTTCTATAGGAAGATATCCTAATGGTTTAATTCACTTTTACCACATGGGTTATACAGCTTGATACAATATTGTTTTCTTCCTCAAAACTGCATAAATTTCTTGTTTAATTAATATTGCATGTTACTTTAATGCTGAAGAATTAAGAGTGGGCTGTGGTACAGACATACATACATGCTTAACTGCACATAAACTGCAACAAAGGCTGAGACAATACTGGAACATCTTGTGTAAAACATGGTTATTCAAAACTGAAACAGTGTTACAACATGATTTTTTATAAGTTTCCTCTATATCAGTAGTACTATTTACATGGTTTATAAGCATGGCAGGGGGACGTGGAGCCTGTTAGCCTCACTACCTCTTGCTTGAATTAGAATTCACTTTTCTGTTTTCTCTGTATTGTATAAAAGAAGTTCTGCACTTGCTAGAGAGGTATCTGCTTAATATTAGATGTCTGTGGTGCTAGTGTCCATAAAGTAGGCAAGTAATAAATTGCAATAGGA